GTAACACGGAACGTTACTACTGATATATATAGAATGAACATAGATAGGAAGGAATGGGTAATATAATTTGAGCCAGTAGTATCGACATATTGGATTCTGCAGTCGAAACGGCACCCTCTAAACCGACGTATCTCGTTATATCGTATTTGCATTCGATCCTGTAGCTTGACGTGGGACGACAGCTACGTTGACGGCCGCCAATTCCAACACACATCCAGTGATAGCTATTGCAATAGTAGTACGATATGTTTCGGATCGTATCATATCCTTTCTTATCTTTCATATCTCACTCACTTTCTCCGATACTTGTCATTAGAGACAAGCAGAGAGAGAGAGAAAGAGAAAGGATGAGAGGGTAAAAAGTAGAGATAAATCCTTCTTGACACGCAAAAAACAAAAAGAAAAAGAAAGAAAGAAAAGGGGGGAGAAAAAGAGGAAACAGAACAAAATCCCACAGATTGATCCCGACCGTGTCGTGTCAATCTGTGATAGGAACGGGAACGGCTTAGATTAATGGGAATGACCTTTCAAGACAAGAAAGGAACAACGAGTGACGCGTGTTAAGGAAGCTAAATGCTAATCGCTAAGTCACGATCTTAACAGAAATTAGATAGAGAGAAAGAAAGAGAAAGAGAGAGAGAGAGAGAGAGAGAGAGAGAGAGAGAGAGAGCAAGTAACACGATACAGATCTCTGGCTCGTTTTTAACAATGTAAGAACTTGATATCGTTAGTTTAGATATCGCGTGCGTAGAACTCGAAACACGTTAGTTACGAGAAGGAAGCGCATACTTCAAGCTCTCTCTTTGGATAGCGTAGAAATAAGCGGTAAGAGCTTAACTTAGTTGAAATGAAAGAGAAAGAAGGAAGGAAGGAAGGAAGGAAGAAAGTAAAAGAAAAAGAAAAAGAAAAAAAAATACAAAGCGATAGGTATACAAGAATACGACGAATGCGGGAGTCCTGAAACGATAACGAACCCTTCTTCCACTCGGCAAAGTTCCGCGATTCGAAGAGAGGTTAAAGGGTAGGAACTGTGGGCTGGAAGGGGCGGGGGGAGGGAAGGTGGAAAAGGGAATGGAAGGAGTTGGATGGAAAAGCGTGGCCGGATAACTCGGCAGCAGGGATTGGTTCGTTAATGTTATCGGTGGCTCGCGTGATGTGGAACATAAAGCATCGTACCTTCTTGAATTTCGTTCCCTTTGTGCGCCTGGGAATTTATGTTACTCTAATCCTGTCGCACACACAACACGGGGCACTAAAGTAAGAGAGAAAGCTAAGAGAACTAAAGGAGGATGAGAGGAGGAGGAGGAGGAGGGTAGTTGTGAAGGTGGAGAACGGTAAAGAAAAGGGAAGGGAGGATTTTGCGATAATACTTTACTCTCTTTGCTTCATTTACTCTTATAACAAAGATTTGTCTTCGAGATCTGTTATTTAACAGAAAATAAAAGGAGATAACCTGTGAGTATTGGATTAGCTAATAATACAAATTACGAATCTTTTAGTATTTTATATATAACTAAATAAATAGTAATAAAGTGTTGACACCGATCAAATATTACTGCAATCCTTTTGCCTATGGTTCTCCAACACAAGTTGATTGTTTTGTTTATATTTAAATAAATAATACTAGTATTTTGTATTTATATTAGACCAACCTCTAATATTAATGAACACTCTCTTTCTCTCTCTCTCTCTCTTTCTTTTTTTCTTTCTACGTCTCCCACAATCTTTCAATTTACTATTCACTGAGAGATTAAGTAGACCAACATCAAAGGACGAATATGACGATACGGTTAACTCTCGAATGGTAACCTCAAGGGGTAGACAGGACTTGTCATATTTTCGATGAAATTCCATTAGACCGTATGCGGTCCCATGTGAAATGCAGCGTACTGCTACTAGCTGTTGCTGTTGCTACTGCTGCTGCTGCTGCTGCTATTGCTGCTGCATTGCTTGCTAGTCGTTCTTTTACAGAGTACCTACATGAGTCGTTCGTGCTCACACGATGAACTGTACTCTCTCTCTCTTTCACTCTCTCTCTCTCACTCTCTCTCTCTCTCTACCTTCTGTCCATTTACGGTGGTTAGCAGCATCACCAGCAGTTCACTCACGCGAACCATTAGCACCTCGTGAGTTACGATTTTCCTCGGTATAAAGCTCTTTCTCTTTTTCTCTTTCTCTTGCTTGCTTGCTTGCTTGCTTGCTCGTACAAGCATACACTTTCTCTTACGTGTATGTATGGGTTACCCAAAGAGACGACCCTTGGAATCTCTCTCTTTCTCTCTTTCTCGTACTCCATCTTCTCCTGCTCTCGCGTATCGCTCTCTCGTGCCTTGTATATTAATTATTTCAGACGGAAAAGGGTAGCAAGGTGGTGCCACTACCATCACCACCACCACCACCACCATCATCACCATCATCACCATCACCACCAATACTTACACTAACAACAACAACAACACCATTGCCCCTGGGTTTTCCCCTTGGGAGATAGAGAAAGCATGACGGGGGTTGAGGGGGAAAAGGAAATTGCATAGATACCGCGGTAAATTACATTGACCCAGATTTTCTCTCTCTCTCAATTTGTCTTTCCTTTTCTTTATTTTCTGACGACTTTTACTTTTTTCTACTTGTGAACGATAGTGTTTTAATTTTGAAACATCATTAGTCATTACTTAATTATTTTTCTTACGATATATTAGAACGAACTCCGAAAGATAGTTAAATATTTTTTCTTGGTTGAAGAAGATTTAAAAGGAACAATAACAAAATGGCGGGGGAAATTTGAAATAGCTCGTAAGTAACGGTCGCTTTTTTCTTTGAACTTGTACAACAACGATATCGCATTACGTTCAATGCGAAATAAAGATGGAGAGAATGAGAGAACCTTGGACTCCTTTGCCATATCTCGTTGACTCTTTCGGCGGCTGGAATAGCAAGTTAAAAGTATTTCGTGGTTAACCCTTGGGACGTTATGAATTGCACTTAAAGGAGGACCTCGACCCATAGATTAACCTCCGTTTCAATTAATCACCCGGTATACTGACGGAACTCGATCCATCTCTTTTTTTCACTCATACACACGCACACACATATATATATACATACACGTATACATTTCTATCAGGAAACGAACCAAAAAAAAACCAGTTGTTCTTAGAAATACGATTTAATAGTTGGTCGATTATAAAAATGAACATTCCATTTGGCGTCCTTGATAATCGATTCTGTTCGTTCGTTCGTTCCCTCGTAGAAATCGCCCACGATACTTAAACCGAATAAAAACCGAAGTAGCTCTTTATCGTTTAAAACTAATGAGTTAATTGCCTATGCCGGATATTACTCGTTCCGAACGAACGACTTTTTTCATTGTATTGCTTTTGTTTTTTTTTTTTTTGTGAGTTTTTCTTTTTTTCGTTGTGAAACAAACGGGTATCATGTAATTTATACAAATTTTATTTCACATTTAAATGTTAATACAATGCTCGGGTAATTTATTGTCTACCTTTCCTTACATTACCTTACGTTTATTCTTTCGACCATCTAGAAACCACGAGGAAAATAACATAACACACTGAGAAGGATTTAACGATAATTTACGTAGTGATATAAGCAAGTCTTTATGCAGTATACGCAAACTGCTCGTCGTTGGACGTTCCTTGTTCTATCTCATTTAAAGTGGTGGTAGTGGTAATGGTGGTGGTGGTGGTGATGGTGGAGGAGAGATGTTATTGCTAGGGTAGTTTATTATGCGGTACGTAAACGTTTGCGTATGCTCAAAGAGCAACGACAATACCCCTTGTTTACAATGTAGTAAATGCACATACATGTAAAAGTACATTAATATACTGTTATAAACGTTTTATTCATATAAAAGCATTCGTATCATAAGAAAGTAATTAAATGTTATCACTAATTATAACGTATACAAGTTGATTATGGAAAAATTCAGATAAATTATTACTATCTTTTAAATAAAAATTAAAAAGAAAAAAAAAAGAAAAAGAAAAGTAATATATAGAAAAGAAAATCATGTGACGTGATAATACGTCCTAATTTCTCATATGACCTTATTTTTCGTATAAATACACCAGGTCAGATGCAATTGTACTTTATTCTTTAATGCAATCCAATTTCTCTTATTTAACCAATCGATTCCTTTTTTTTTATTGTTCCATATTTAAAAGTACTAAATGAAGTTTATCGAAATGTCAATACTTAACGAGATATTTAACATTTCAACGCCGAAATAAATTGAATGGCATTAAAAATGAAAATTATTCGATTAATGATGCATTAATTACAATTATCCTCTATTATTGATTTCCTATATTTGATTGTTTATTCGAAAAATATTAGTAATCCGGTGTATCAGTTTCCAAAATGATTCTCCTATATAACTCTTTCTCTTTCAATCATTGTTTTTATTCGCCGGTAACAAAAGGAAAGTTATAAGGGATGATACTTCGGTAAGGATAATGCTTGGGATATTCGCCATAACATACATATATCAATCTCAGCTGGATTAAGCAAGGCTCAGGAGCTGCTTAAGTCCGGCGTATCCATTAAACTCTCGTCAGGAGGCGCCTAGTACGTGACACGCCGGTGGTCTTAAGCAACTTTGATGAAACTTTTCCGCGTCGTGGAAGGAAAGGTGAATGACGTGTCACGAGAAAGAGAGAGAGAAAGAGTGTGTGAGTGGAAAACAGTCGAGCCGAAAGGGTCGACGCACTCTTCTTCTCGAGGAAAAATATTGTCTCTGGATATACACTATATATATATATATATAAATCATCCCTTATATATTACACATTACATATATAATGTAATATATATGTGTGCGTTTATTTATATATATTTATAAAAAAAAAAAACAAAGCGTTACGTTTAAGTTTCATTTTTTACACACTTTGTTTTCCTTTGTAAAATAGAAAAACTTTTTTACCCTTTTTACCAACTAATGAAAATGATTATTTATCTTTTTTTTTTTTATTGTGTTTTAGCTCTCGGAGCTCGAGCAGCGTGTCTTGGAGGCCGAGGGCAGAGCCGATGAAGCGGAGGATAAGGTAATACTAATTAAATGTATAATATAAAAAAGTAATAGAATGAATGAGAATGAAAGAGAATGAAAGAAAGGATTTGTAGAAGAGTTCGTGTCGTTCATTGATAGGAGATATATATTACGTTGGAAGAGTTTGCGAGAAATCGTTCGAGTTGGATGAACACGAGTAAACATTGGGTCGGGTTTCGATGCGAGAAACGAGTGGATTTAATCGGGTGTAGAAAAATTTGTTGAGAGTGTTTCTCACGATGAATCTCTCTTGCGTGAAGTAGCGACAGACAGACTGCTCGAGAACAATCGACCGTAAAAAGACATTCAAGTGCTGATACTATTTTCTTTCTCCCTTTTTATCTCTTTCTCTTTCTCTCTATTTTTTCTTTTTATTCCTTTTTCCCTTAACCGTAAATACATATAGCATTAATGTCAGTTACAACGAGTACGAGTTAACTCGGAAAATTGCTACGCCATTTTTTCGCTTCGGCTAACTCTTTCTCTTTCTTTTTCTCTTTCTCGTTCTCTCTTTCTTTCTTCAACGATTTGTTTGAAATAATTACTAAAGAATTTTATCCCGAGACATCCGAGGGTATATAAATAATTCATCGAGAAAACTAACGATTCCAATTTTCTCTTTCCTATCCATTATTCTTTATATTATTCTTATACTGAATTATTATATTTCTTTTTCTATCTTTTCTATTCGTTTTTTCTTTTGCCCCATTCTCTTTAGATTTGTTTGATCTTTTTATTCGCGTACTATAATACCGAATCCCCAATATCATCTAATCGTATAACAAACAATTTCTTGTCAACATCGGAATTATGTCACGAGTGGAATTAAATGTCTGTTAGACCACTCGTGAAAATCTAACAAAGTGTATGATGTATGAAGAGAGTTTTCTTGATCATTGGAAATATTTGTTCGAACGTTCGATACCATTCTGTATTACCGACGAGAAACTTTCAATCCACTTTGAGCTTTTATCTCCTCACACCCCAACCCCCTTTTCTCTCTGTCTGTCTGTCTCTTTCTTTTCAATTTCATCGATTTGTACTTGTGCACAAGTTATTACCTCCATACAGTCACTCACCATTCTTACCGACTGATCCAAATTTTCTCGTACCCTTGGAAAATATCACCCAACGAAATTAGAACTTACCAACAGATGGCAACGTATCGGGCACGGGGTATTTAGTTTCCCCAATTTATTTCTACCGATCTGTTATCCAATTTTCGATATTAAAGAGAACCACCTTATCGACGACGCTATTTTGCATCGATTTTTGAATGGACGTATTTTTTTTATATTACGATCGTTGTTTCTTTTTTTTTTTTTTTCTTTTATAAAACATAGAGTACGTGTTGTGTTGATTATAAAATAGAATAATCGTTTCTAATCGTAATATAGATCTAATATTTATTATCAAATTTGAATAAATTAACAAATATATAAAAACAATAAGAAAGAATAATAATTTAACTTTAAGAAAAAAAAAGAAAAAATGAATGATCAAATATAATGCATGCACATTTCAAGAACAAGTTTCGTGGCTTGGAATAGTTTCCTATTAAAAAGTGATATAAAAATCGCGGGTAAAATATCCATTCGTTAGCTCTTTCATTGAATTAATTCATAATAGTAATAATAATAATAATAGTATAGTAATAGTAGTAGTAGTAGTAGTATCGTATCGTATCGGTCGGTACTCTCGCGGGTAAATTCTGTGTCAGGCAGGGCGCATGTTAGGCTGGCATTGATTTTTGTCTCTCTTGCCGTCTCTCTTCGAGCAAAAGAAAGAGAGAAGGAAGAGAGCAAGAGAACACGAGAGAAAGAGAGAGAGAGAGAGAG